CTAAGTGAGAAACTGCAGCCCCCCTGCCGTTAGCCCTAATGGTCCAGCTAAAAGCAATTAAAAATATCTTGGTACAAATCAAGTGCAATCTACCTCAAGAGGAAAGAAGTGCAATATTATGGGTACAATGTGAATGAGGAGAAATTAATTATTCATTATTTCTGTTTTTCCTCTATTCAGGAGAACGTGTTTGGCTGTTTGAGCTGCATTAGCCACTCCTAGGATTCATGCTTCTAACAAAAACGCAGTGTTGGCCGGAGTATAAAATCAGCCCACGCACAGGCCGGTTTGAAGAGAGTAATTGCGCGCCCCATCCTTTTTTATGTGAATCAAAAATCTGATGGCGTTAGCTTTGTGCCCGTGTGTGTGCCCACTGTGCGGGTGGGAGCCCTGCCCACACAGGGCCCCTGTGCCTGCTAAACCCTACTTGAACTCGAGGCCTCAATTTTGATGGCCTACGTTGGGGATGCTGCTCTGACCCCACCACTGCATTGGGGCCCCTTCAGTGTGCTCCCATCTCCTCCATCCACTTGCATCACCTGTCTGAGGAGCACGGCTGTGTGCCTGGCACCTTCTGGGCTGGGGTACCTCAGGGACAGATGAAGCAACCCCACCCCGGGTGGCTGAGGACAATGGGTCTCCTCGAGCCTCGCCCCAGCTTCGGTGCTGACTGAGTGGAGAGACTGACGGGTCATCCCCCACGACACCTCTGAACGTACTTATAATCTGCATGGTGACCAGGTCTATTCTGATTTTCTGGAAGCTGGAAAAGCCAGCTGCCGTGTAGTCCTTCCGACAATGGCAGTCATCCCGGCGGCTCCCGTTGTAGGGACACTCGGTTGGGTTGTGCAGCCTACAGTCCAGAGAGAATGTTCCAGTGAGGATGAGAAGGTGCTTCCAGGGATCGCAGGGCTCTGGGCTCCTCGGAGCCGAGCTCTCCTACCTGTGGCCGTAAACCTCGGAGAAATTCTCAGAGTCCCCACGGACCAGTGTCATGTACTCTTTTGGGTGGTCGGACTGCATCCCCGCACAGAATATCTGAAAGTCAGACCAGAAATAACCCACTGGGGCGGCTCGGCCATGGGGCGATGAGAGCCCGGCCGCTCACTCTATAGACAGTTTAGAAATAGGACTGAGGTCTGTGCTCACCTTCAGGAGCTTGCCCTTGACGATCAGGAAATATTCACCATCCTCTGAGGCACCGTTCAGTCTTTTTACCTCCTTGCAGTTCTGGGGTAGCTCGCCTAGAAAACACGAGATGCCAAAATGCCTTGCGATGAATGAACTGGTCACACTAACGCTCTTTAGCAAAGGGGATGATTTTTTTTACAATGAGTTTTGTATTTCTGAAATGGGCAGGCAAGCGAACAGAGAAGACCGTTGTTCAGGCTCCCGAAAGAAGGCTTCGCTTGGCCAACTTACAGTTATAGATATCGTGGCAGGTTTTTCTCTCTTCTGGCTTCAGGTCAGCGGGACATAAGTGGCTGGGCTGGTCCTCGTTGGTTAAGCATTGCACGGACCTGTGCCTCACTCCCACGCCGCAGGACACCGAGCACTGCAAGGCAGGGGTGGGTCAGCGGCGTGGGTGTCGGACCCGGAGGCCTGGCTCCTACCTGTGGTGCTGGGGCTTCACAGTGCATACAGGGCTTTATTTCAGGCCCTCTGTTGCTGAGACAAATAGCTGACGTAATGGGCACTTACTATGGACCCATTCCTGTGCTGAGCTTTATATATTCACATTTATGCATATCTACTATCTACATAGTTACGTATGTACTTATACATATTATATATATATATATATATGTATAATTTTATATTCTCATGTAAGCTTTACAGTGACCCTAAGATAGTAATTCCATTGTTCTATTTTTACAGAGCAGAGATTAGGGCCCAAATGTTAAGAAATTTGTTCAAGGTCATGGTGGAGCCAGGATTCAAAGGTGACCACTTTCAGTTGGTCCTATACTTTTGCCCAATCACTTTGTGACACTGAGCTATCTGGAGCCAGGAGCTGTAGCAATTTCCCAGGGCAGCTCCAGTTAAAAATGTCCTCACTTGTACCCCTAAGACAGCAAAGAATTAATTCCCAATGCAGAGGGACTGACACTTCTGAACCTCTTAAGTGACAAAGTTCAAGCTGCTTTAAAATTTTAAACTGTGGAAAAGATATGCAACTTAAAATATATCCTGCTAACATAAGTGCTTTTTCTGTATTAACCCTTTCTTGCAGGTGAGGGAACTGAGACCCGGACTTTCTGCACTTTCTGCAAGTGGCCAAACCAGGAATCAGCAGGAGGCTGCCTGGCTTCCGAGTCCATGCGAGGAGCACCGGGGGCCACACCGCCCAGCAAGCCCCTTTCAAGGCGCTCACTGCTGTTTCTTACCAGGTCTCTTCTAGAAGGAGAATGACTCAGGCAAGCTGTGTGCTTTGTGATTTGATAACCGTCTACTTACGCTCCCCCAGTTGCCCACTCTCCAAGTGGCGGAGACCGGGCACTCCCGCAGGTAGCAGGGGTGCACGCTGGGGGGCTGGGTGCCCGGGCAGTTGGTGGCAGTCTGGTGTCCATACTCGTAATTCTCCTTCCCGGTGTAAATCTCGCTGCAGGAGACGAGCCTTTGCTTGTAGCCCTTCCCACAGGTCACTGAGCACTGAGGAGAGAGGGGTTGAGGGGAGAGGCTGAGCCCAGGGCAGCCGCAGCAGACCCTGCCCTCCACCCGGCCTGCTGAGCCTGGGCAGTGCTGTGCGAGCTCTCGGCCTATTGGCTTCATGCACGTTGGGCAGCGGCCCCAGCACACGGGGGCCAGGCAGCCCTAACAACGCCTTCTGGTCTAGTGCTCCCACTGAGGTGCCTCAAGCCCTTTTCTGGGCTTCCAGGGGAG